ACGTCCTACTGTTCTGCTCCGAACTGGGCTAATGAAGACGGGCATACGCCATACAGTGTGCTATGAGGGAAATATTGCCCGGACAGCGGCACTACGGCCTACTCTTATATCGAATTCCAACTGTCAAGGGATCTTTTACGTGCATGCCAATGTGTACACGGGACCTCGGTTTTTCGTCCCATCCGAAGAACTAGACAGCTGTCCTTGTCAGGCCCTCCGTCCTGCATCGCTAACTAGGGGGAACCATGCCGGAAAATCGGGATGAACTTTCTCGGCCAATGCAGGGATCGAACACCCGACCTCCAGGCTAGCGAGCCAGCGTCTTACCCACTTAGCCACGTGATACCCTGGAATTGTAGAGTTCTCAAGTTTGTAGTGTAGAAAAGCCAATGGATTAATTTATACTAGTAATATATTTGATTACGTGCTGCGGATGAGCATAAAGCGCGACAAAATGTGAAAGTTTTTAGTGTTGAAAATGCCAAGAGATTAATTTATAATAGTAAAATATTTGGATTATGTGCTGCGGATGAGCATAAGCCGCGACAAAAGTGCGACTAGATATCAAAATGTAAAGAAATGTGAGACAAAATGTAAGAATATGACTGAGAGTGACGCACATTCGAAAAGTGCTGAGACAGTTGAAAATGATGACTCGTTTACCATAACATGTTCAAAATGGTTGTAGATGTTCAAATAAATATGTAAATCATGATTTTGTTATTTTTGTCCCTTTTCAACTGATACACGGCCACTTTTCAACTGATACAGATACATGGCCGTGTATCAGTTGAAAAGTGGCCGTGTATCGGTGTATACCCTCCCATTTTCATCAAAGAGTCGAGAAAAAGTATGGGTATAAGTGTTTCGTATAGGCACCGTTTTACGTCAACACTATTCTACTTAATTTTACTAATCCGTGCACGAGATGACTGGACTATAGTACCCTACTTCCAGCAATGGATACTGACATAACAGTCGGTGAGTTAGTCTAAGATAGTAGTAGAATAATACAAGCTACTTCATTACCCTAGTTTTCGTCACACATCATGTAGGTAACGAATTTCTGTATTAAACAGAACACCTTTCTTATATCTAAATTAAACCCTATAGTATTACAACATAATCCTTATATTACAACATATGGTTTTATTTTATTTCAATAATTCGCTTGCGCGTAGGGGTCTTTAGTAGTGGGAGGAAACCGGAAGACCCGGAGAAAACCCACTAGGTTGAACAGGCGACCCTACTTCTTGTCACGTACAACCGGGAAATCGAAACCACGCTAGTTGACTCAATAATAAACCTTATGATACAGCGCGCAGTTGCTAACCATTCGGCCATCCGACCCCCCAAGCACCTGGCAATAATTATGTTTAACTATCTTAAATAAACATAAAATAGCATCGAGTCCCTGGAATTTTATGGGACCTGCACAACCACGTGATAAATCAGACATGCATATCGACTGTCAATATCATCGAATAATTATAATATACTCAAAGCCATAAAAAACGCAATGCCTAATTCGTGAAATATTTCTGGTAAACGTTTTCTTGGGCTTTCCTATCTCATGGCACATAGGTGAAACTTGTGATGGGTCTCTTTTTGTGGAGTTCTTCGTTTGAACCTAATATCAGTTCTCGGTAATGAACTTTGTTCGTGCAAATGCAACACTTGTCTTTTTTCACGATTTTAAGCAGTCCCATGTCACACGTTTTGCAAGTGCATTTCCTGCACTCTGGCCCTTTAAATACAGATCAAAATTTCAACATTCATCACTTCGGAAAAATGCCTTACACAAGAAAACAGGAACAGAGCTATTGGCATGCTGGATCAGAGGGCTGCACAGGTAGCCGTCGCCAGACACTTTAATGTCCACCCATCGACCATTGCTCACGTCAGACAACGCTTCCATGCCACTGGAAGGAATGCCGATCGACCCCGACCTGGAGCGCCACCTGTAACAACCGCTGCTCAAGATCACCACATCCGACTACAGCATCTGCGCAACAGGTTCCAGTCAGCTACTGCTACTGCCAGGGGAACTGTTGGGACACGGCAACGTCAGATCAGCCCTCAAACAGTCCGAAGGCGCCTGGCTGCTCTTGGGTTATGCTGCCGTCGACCTTACCAAGGTCAAATCCTTTTGCATCGCCATCGACTTGCCCGACAGCAATGAGTCGCAAATCAGGGGTATCTGCACAACGCACCATGGTGAAATGTCATCTTCTCCGATGAATCCCGATTAAGCCTCAGTTTTCCTGATGGACGTCACCGTATCTACCGACGTCGACATGAACGCTTTGCTGGTAACTGCGTGCTGGAAAGGGGTCGTTTCGGGGGAGGTGCCGTCATGGTTTAGGCAGCTATCAACGTCAACTTCCGGTCCCAGTTGGTGGTGGTCCAAGGCAATCTCAACGCTCAACATTATGTTGACGCCATCCTTCGTCAGGCATGTGTAAGAGCTCGGGGTGGACATACCCGATATTGACTTCAGCTGATCCCTGCTTTGTTCTCTGACGTTTCGGTTTTGTGCATTTGTAGTGAATTTTTCATGAAATTATCCACAGATGCTTGTTATCCCGATTTTGTCAATTGTTTTGTACATTTGTTAAGGTTGTTGCAGTAAATAAAATTTGAATTTGGCATTGCGTTTTTAACTTAATATGCTGCGGTAATTCATCTTACCGTGTTTTATGCCCTCCAAGCATTAGGTGACTTACCTGAATCCCAAATCCCAAACAACCAACCAATCGTCGCGGGGTATGGGGGAGTCGCGTTCCCTGAGAAAATTCTGAAAGATTAACCGCCGCAAATGCGTTTCTCCGCTACTCTATCTCGCGAATTAAGCAGTTTCAAAGTTTCCAGTCGGGTTGCAACCGAAATTCCACCCTATGCCGACCTGAATTCCAACCATCCAATTATCAGACTTGCTGCTGCATTCACAAATAATAATCGATGCCCGAAAAATGTCGAACAAAGTAGCGTGGCTCCAGACAAAATCCTTTTAATGTAAATTCAGTACAAATGGCGTCATCGTTTGACATGACTTGTGGACTATGTCTAGCCTCATTCGTCGAGTCCCTTGTTACAAATGGCGCTGACACGCATTGTGGTACAAAATTCGTGTACCATTGGTAAAATGTTTAATTTGTCTTAAATATTGGACATCAGAAGCCTATATTTTTCCGGTAAGATCACAACATCAATGTTGATTTAAATTGACAAAAAAAATCGTGTTTTCAATGTCGAAGATTAGTGTTTTAATAGATTTCGGGCAATTTTTTTTGCCAACTAGATAAAATAATATTTTTTTTCACTTTACCCGTCTGCCCGAAAAGTCAGATAGCCCGAAATTTCGGGGAGGGGGGGGGGGCGCAGCTGCTCCCAACCTCCTGGCTCTTACGCCTATAAATTACGAACTAAACTTCAAACAGCTAAATTAGCAGACAGCGTCCAATACTTCTATCCCTATTCTGATAATATCGTATTCCGACACAATTTTATGTAATTGGTCCATTGGGTGTAGATAAGAAACTTCATATCTTGACCCTGCGTTTCCACCATGCTACGGTTTTCTCGACTTAAACCAATCTGAATAATGATCGATCAGTTGATCAATTGCAGTGTCTGTTTTATCCACTGCACACTGAACCATCTTGACTTCTGGATCCACTGTAGATAATTCAGCACAAATTTTAGGAATGTGGGGATATTGACATGAATCTCTAAAAGGAGAGAGAGAGAGAAATGGGGTTTAACGTCCACTCGACACAAACTAGGTCATTTCGGGACTAACACATGGTTCAATTTTATTTCAATAATTCGCTTGCGCGTAGGGGTCTTTCAGCAGTGGGAGGAAACTGGAGGACCTGGAGAAACCCCATACAACCGGGGATTCGAAACCACGCCAGTTGACTCAATGACAGGCTTTATGATACAGCATGCACTGCTAACCATTCGGCCATCCAACCCCCCCATCTCTAAATGGAATTCTAATGGTTCAATTCTGGTCAGTATTAGAGAAAGGGAGGATACAGATAGATTACTTAATGTCTCGCTCTCGACCATAAAAGATAGGTTGCCAGGCAACAAAACATACGCCCACAGCAGCTAAATCGCCTGAGCGGTCGGCAAGGGTTGTCGCATATTTATTCGTTTGTAGGTAATTTCGGGCATTTTATAGACAATTTCATACAGATGAAATTATAATTTTCGTCGTTTGAGGGTTCACAAGGTTCTAAAAACTAAAACAAGGGCCATAACACTGGAAGTAATCTAACTTTTGTCGTTGGAACGTTCACAAGGTTCAACAAAGTAAAACAAGGTGCATAACCTAGAAGTAATTTACGGAAATTGCTGACATTCAATAGGCTTCTTCATTTCACTAATTTAAATGATGAATATGAATTTCATACAGATTGAGTGATAACCTTTGTCGTTTGAGCAATCACAAGATTCAACAAAGTGAAACAACGGTCATAACTCTAGATGTAATTAACAGAAATTTGCTGAAACTCAATAGACTTGTTTGTTTTACTAATTTAAACGATACATATAAATTTCATACAGATCGGATAATAACTTTTGTCGTCAGAGCATTCAAAAGGTACAACAAAGTGAAACAAGGGCCATAACTCCAGCAGAAATTAACGGAAGTTATTTAATTTAAACAGGCTTCTTCGTCTGACTAATGCAAACAACATATATCAATTTCAAAACAATCAGATGATAAATGTAGTCTGTAGAGTGTTCACAAGAAATTGTGGACGATGGACGGACAGGGGCGACGGCAATATACGACCACATTTCCATGTGGGCGTATAAAAACCAAAAAAATGAAATGAGGTTTAATGTCCTACTGTTCTGCTAATAATGACGGGCATATGCTGATACAGTGTGCTATGAGGGAAATTTTGGCCAGACAGCGGCGCTACTGCCTACTCTTTATTTCGAATTCCATTATTCGAAACGATTATATTAATAACTTTTAAAAATTCTTTTAAAAAAAAGGATTTATTATTCAAAATTAATACAAATAAACAAACTGGTGGTTAACAATAATTATAGCCTCGTACCAAGATTAATCCAGTGAAATTATTAACAAAATTAAACTATTGAAATTCAAAATCAAACTCTTAAAATAATTGCATATTGTGGGACCCTTAGGCCATCGAACACAAATATTTGGGTTCTCAGACAAGGTTTTCTAAAAATATGGGCTAAATAACATCTCATAAACATCATATTTTCAGGACAGTATCATTTATCTCATGTTGCTTAAATCAATGTATGATTATCCAGTATCATTTACCTCATGCTGTTTATAGCAATGAATGATTATCCAGTATCATTTATCTCATGCTGTTTATACCAATGTACGATTATCCAGTATCATTTATCTCATGTTGTTTATAGCAATGAATGGTTATCCAGTATCATTTATCTCATGTTGTTTATACCAATGTATGATTATCCGGTATCATTTATCTCATGTTGTTTAAACTAATGTTATGATTATCCAGTATCATTTATCTCATGTTGTTTATACCAATGTATCATTATCCAGATTATCCAGTATCATTTATGGTCAATAACATTCATCAGGGTTGCATATTTGATTGAGCTCACTGTGCATTTCTGGATTCATTCAATTTTTTTTTTTAGAATTACTGACTGTGACCAGGGCCCTTATTCACGAAAACTTAAACTAAGTTACAACCAGAATTTTAAGAAATACTGCAACTTCATTGGATATATGCAAATTGATTTTACTGGTCAGCCAATCGAATTGTAGTACATGTATTTCTTAAAATTTCGATTATATCTTAGTTTAAGTTTTCGTGAATAAGGGCCCTAGGCTAAACAATTTACATGCAGTAATTAATGAGACTAGTTTAAAAAATAAAAATAGGTAATGCAGCCTTTTTAAGTAACACAGGATTACTGAATAACTAGAATATATGTTTTTTTATATGTTTAAATCTGACAGAATAAAAATTGATGTAAATAGAAATAATTTAAGAATTACTTTCATGATTTCAATTTAATAAATGGATATCTGAGAATAAAATATTTAAACATGTTTATTAATAAGTTCTTTGAGTTTCGCTTCACTTGCTCCGATTAGTTCATCAACCTGTAAAAAAAATATATATAGATCAAAATTACATTTCAAAAAAACTAAATTTGAATGTCTTGTAAATTACAAAATTGTAAAAGTTGAATTTCTAAAATTTTCTGCATCGACTTCAACCTACAGCAGCACTACAACCTACTCTTATATTGAATTCAAACTTCACCCCATCCGGATGATGAAATGAAATGAGGTTTAACGTCCTACTGTTCTGCTCCTATACTGGGCTAATGAGGGAAATTTTGCCCGGACACTGGCATTATGGCCTACTCTTATATCGAATTTCAACTGCCAAGGGATCTTTTACTTGCACGCCAATGTATACACGGGTCCTCTGTTTTTCGTCTCATCCGACTGACTAGACAGCTGTCCTTCTGAATGATTATACATATGGTTCAATTTTATTTCAATACTTCACTTTCACATAACATTGGAAGAAAAAGAGAGAGAGAAATGGGGTTTAACGTCCACTCGACACAAACTAGGTCATTTCTGGACTAACATATGGTTTAATTTTATTTCAATAATTCGCTTGCGCGTAGGGGTCTTTAGCAGTGGGAGGAAACCGGAGGACCCGGAGAAAAACCACGAGGTTGGACAGGCGACCCTACTCCTTGTCACGTCCAACCGGGGATTCGAAACCACGCCAGTCGACTCAATGACAGACTTTATGATACAGCACACGCACGCTAACCATTCAGCCACCCAACACCCCCCCCCCCTATTTTTAAAGGATTATTCGTCTTTAACCATAAAACATATGTGAGACATGAAATGAAATGGAGTTTAACGTCCTACTGTTCTGCTCCTATACTGGGCTAATGAAGATGGGCATACACCTTACAGTGTGCTATGAGGGAAATTTTGTCTGGGCAGCTCCACTATGGCCTACTCTTAAACCGAATTCCAACTGCCAAGAGATCTTTTAAATGCACGCCAATGTATACATGTGACCTCATTTTTTCGTCCCATCCAAACAACTAGACAGCTGTCTTTATCAGGCCCTCTGTCCTGCACCAGCGACAAGGGGAAAACATGTCGAAAAAAAATATAAGACTTCCATCATATAAATATTACCTTTTCTCCACCTTTAATAATAATAAATGTTGGCATTGCGTTTATTTTATACCTTGCTGCTAATTCCTGAAATTAAAATATTCATAAAATAAATAGTTAAAGATACATTTTGCAAAAGGTAAATCTGCCTATTCCAGGTCGTTTTTTTAGGCCTGAAATGTTATATAAACTACTAATTAGACATTTATTAACATGAAAAGACCTTAATCAACTCTCAATGCCACCTTATGTGTCAGATTTTCACTGGATTTGAATCCTTTCTGCTGCCCAATGCTCATTGATGATTAAATGCAAAAATGGATAATCGAGACTATGTTTTTTATAGTACCAACTTCAGCAATGATGATTGAAGAGTGGAGTCGTAATAAATGAAGGGGGGTTAACATTCTATATCCCGCAAGTGAAGACAGTAATACATCATACAAACAGCTGCCCTTACAGCCTACTCATATCGAATTTCAATTGTCAACGGTTCATTTCAGTCATTGTTTTTTTAAGGCAAGCGATCGCTCTCAAGCGCCTGCCGCTCACCTGAATTTCGACCGAGGGGAGCTTTTTCTCCCTCTCCCTAAAATTGAAAATCGCTCTCCTTTACAAAGTCATGGAGGGTTTATTATTATTTATGAATCAAGGAATGACCCCCTTTGACTGGAACTTTTCAGCATATTCCCTTTAAATTATCTAGTTTTTAACTATTATAGTTAGAAATGTCAGTTCTTATCTAAACGTCCATAATGGCCTTTTAATCAAAGGTAAGGCCACTTGTTAGATTTGTAATTGCTTGCAAACTACAATATTATGAAAGATGAATTCATAAAAAGGAAGATTAGTCCAAAACTGTTTTAATTCCTTTCAGTATTCGCAACAAAATGAGGTTTAAAGTCCACTCGAAACAACCCAAGTCATTTCGGAACTAACACATGGTTCAATTTTATTTCAATAATTCACTTGCACGTGGGGGTCTTTCAGCAGTGGGAGGAAACTTGAGGACCTGGAGAAACCCCATACAACCGGGGAATCGAAACCACGCCAGTTGACTCAATGGCAGACGTTATGATACAGCGCGCACGTGCTAACCATTCGGTCATCCAACCGCCATTTACAATAATATGTAAAAATTGAAATTTCATCGATCAATGCTGCTCGTTATGCACTAGACCTGTCGTTATTTTGTTGATAGGTCTTGTTGAAATCTGACTGAATCAAAGCCAGAAGATTATCTAGCGTGAAATTGAAAATGTCTCAATGCTGAAGAGCTGATATAAATAGAATACAGTCAAAAGTCAATCAGCAGCACTTGTAATTTTAGCTAACAAAACTTTGATTGGGCCAGTTGGTGGTTCTCAACCTTTTTTTGCCAATGGCACACCATGGAATACATGAAAAAATAGCGGCACACCTGGCTAAATATATATATGAAAAATATTTGAATTTTGCAAAATAAAAACATGACGGAATATAACCGTAGACAGAGACTAGTCATAGACACATATAATGACTCAAATTAAATAAAGAAAAACACAGCTAGCTATGAACTTAACGGTAGACACCAGTGAATACTCAATTGGGATCACGTTTTTTCACATTTTCTTAGCGTGCCATTCAAATTTTGCGGCACACTTGGGAAGATCTTGCGGCACACTGGTTGAGAATCACTGGATTAGCTGACATCCTGTATATTTAGACTGACATTCCGTATATTTAGACCGACATCTTGTATATTTAGACTGACATCCCATATATTTAGACTGACAACCCATTAGTAGACTGACATCCCATATATTTAGACTGACAACCCATTAGACTGACATCCCATATATTTAGACTGACATCGCATTAGACTGGCATCTTATATATTTAGACTGACATCCTATATATTTAACATCTTTAGACTTTAGACTTACTTCTACATCATCAACATCAACTTTTAAAGCAATAAACTTTCCTTCCATTTCCTTGGCTATCGTCTGAAAACCAAAAAAAAATGAATATTAAGTCTCATACCTTATGAAATGAAATGGGGTTTAAAGTCCTACGATTCTGCTCCGACTGGGATAATGAAGACGGGCATACACCATACAGTATGCTACGCGGCAAATTTTGCCCAGGCAGCGGCACTATGGCCTACTCTTGTATCAAATTCCAACTGCCAAGGGATCTTTTACGTGCACACCAATGTTACACGAAACCTCGGTTTTTCGTACCATCTAAACGACTAGACAGCTGTCCTCGCCAGGTCCTCCGTCCTGCACCACTGACAAGCAGTAACCACGTCAGAAAATCCTGATGAACGTTCTCGGCCAATGCAGGAAACAATAGACTAGCAAACCAGCGTCTTACCCACTGTGGCTCCTCGTACCTTACGAACATTTCATGATGTTTATTATACAATGGGTTTTGTTATACCTTATATATTAGATTGTTATAAAAAACGGGTCATTTTGGGACTAACATATGGAAACCAGATCACTTGGCGAAAAACAATCTGCCCAATCCGAACAACTATATGTTGCCCTCTGATCTGCAATGCTGACAAGCGGAAGGGGTGAAGTGAACCACACCCGATATTCCCAATGAACTTTCTCGGTTAACACTGGGATCGAACATGACACCTCCAGGCTAATGAACCAACGTTTTACTCACCGAGCCAGTGCAGCTCCTTGACACAAAGAAAATTGACCCTACAAGGGAGAGAGAAATGTGGTTTAACATCCACTCATTTTATTTTAATAAATCGCTTCCCCGTAGGGGTCTTTAGCAGTGGGAGGAAACCGGATGATCTGGAGAAAACCTTGTTTAATAAAAGTGAGGAATAGAAACTACGCCAGCTGACTCAATGATAGACTTTATGATACAATTCAAAAGTGTTAACCATTCAGCCAACTCCCACCACAATCAAAGATGTACATGTACAGTAGAATCTGTACGAGCAGCCACTCCTATTCAGCGACATCTCCTTGTAAGCGGTCACGAAAAATTCCCCCTGCAAATATTCCATTGTTTCATCTCTTTAATCAACGGTCACTCCTCTAACACGGCCAGAGGTCACTATTTTACTAATAAATTAACGGTCACTGTTGACTGATACCATCTTGCCGTTCTTCGTAACACCCCCGCTAATCCTGTGATTAATAGTTAATGTTAATTAACTGGACCCCACTAATCAGGTAAAAATAAATGTTGAAAATAACAATGAACACGGGATTACCTGTTAATTAATCTTTTGTTTTATTAAACGACAAACCCTGATCATTGTTTTCACATGTTATGAAACATTATTAGATACTGACTGAATAAACTAAAAGCACCAACGAAGTGGATTTTTGTCACAATCATCTGTTTTCCATTGACACTTTTTTGCTAATCAGACGTTTTAGCGCATCCTATAATATTACAGAGTTATACCTCCTGAAAATCGGTGACAAATTCGGCAATGGATTTTTGTTGATGAGCTTTTTAGAAAAAATATAATTAATTCATGGATTTTCTTCATAAAAATGGATAAATATTATCGAAAGCATCACAATGGTAGACAGTAGAATCGATGTAGGTACAAAATGACACCGTCACAGAAAGTTATTGATGTTTGCTTCCAATGCTTCCAAGCGTTATATTAAGAGGCCACTTCCGTAAAGCGGTCAGTCATGAAAATTCCCTTGAGTGGCTGCTCAATACAGATTCTACTGTAAAAGAAAGTCCACTTACCTCAAATTTTGGTCCGATGACTTTACAGGGTCCACACCACGAGGCAGAAAAATCAACACAGATCATTTTATCCCCTGCATCTTTTAATAATGCATCAAATGATTCCTAAAATAAACATATAGTCGTAATAAAAGAAAGGGGGTTTAGTGTTTAACATTCTATATCCCCCAAGTGAAGAGAGAGAGAAATGGGGTTTAACGTTCACTCTACACAAACCAGGTCATTTCGGGACTAACATTTTTTTAAATTTTATTTCAATAATTCGCTTGCGCGTAGGGGTCTTTAGCAGTGGGAGGAAACCGGAGGACCCGGAGAAAACCCTCGAGGTTGGACAGGCGACCCTACTCCTTGTCACGTACAACCGGGGAATCGAAACCACGCTAGTTGACTCAATGATAGACTTTATGATACAGCGCGCACACGCTAACCATTCAGCCATCCACCCCCACCCCGTGCAAGTGAAGACAGTCATACATCATAAAAACAGCGGCCCTTACAGCCTATTCATATCGAATTCCAATTGTCAACGGTTCATTTCAGTCATAGTTTTTTAAGGCGAGCGATCGCTCTCAAGCGCCTGCCGCTCACCTGAATGTCGACCGAGGGGGGCTTTTTCTCCCTCTCCTTAAAATTGAAAATCCTTCTCCTTTACAAAGTCATGGGGGTTTATTAGTATTAGTGCTTAAATTCCAAAATGGTAAATATACAATGCGTGTTTATGTCAACACTTGATTTCAACAAGTGATTAGAAATAATGCTATATAAAAATATGACCCGGCATAATGACCAGTCAGTTTTAGAAAGTATTTGATCCATTATTGTTTATCTATGTTAATGTCTCTAGTGATAATCCTGTATAGTATACACGTATGTTTTGATGTCAACACTTGAGCTTATCCATTAAACTATGTGTATCTTTCTAAAGTCAATAGAATGATCACTTTGGCCTGTACCAGTGCTCTCTTTACAATTAAATTACATAGACAGTGATTCATGAAACAACAGTTTTAAAACATTAAACTATTAAATCATTAAAATTTAAAGCTCATTTAAAAAGTTCACTTTTAAAGGCTCAATACCACTCTTGTTGTAACTGAATAATATGTCCCAATCTTTATTCTGGTCAACAAATTGTACTATCTTACAATATTCCAATTAATTGATGATACAAATTTCATCTTAACACACCTAATTTAAAAAAAATTGGAAAAATTCAACTAAATGATTTGAAAAGCCCGATGTAAAGCTTTTCAAATGTGACTTGGATTTAAAGATATTTTTGAACCTTCTGGACAAGTAAAATAGGATTTAATGGATAATTTACACAACAGGTAGGACAATAACACATCTAGTACTTAGAATCAGGGCTCTATAAAAGTTGAGTGTGCCTGTGCACACACTTGAAAATGTGCCTGCAGGGTCATACTGAAACACAGGGATGTAGCCATGATTTGGTGAGTGGTGTATAAATATATCTGGCAAGCAGAGCGAGGCCAAAAATTTTTTGGGAGGGGGGCGTGGTCTTTTATGAAAATTAAACCCTTCTTGGTGTATTTTCAGAGCATCTGCTGCCTTTTGTATTTGGTTCAGTGCAAATCAAATTTCCATTTATATATTCAAATTTTACCAAATTCACTTAATTTTCATCAATGATACAGGGATCTAAAAACTTTTTGACACCACCCGACCGAGCATAAAATTGTCCCGCCCCACTCTAGCTGTTTCTCTGGATATGAGAACCTTTCGGTATTTGTTGTTTTGTTGGGGTTTTTTTTTCAAATATTACTTTATTACTGAGATTAAAAACTAAAACAATTTGTTTAAACGGTGTTTGTGTTTTATTTGAGTACAATGAATTATGACAACAGGTAGATATTGATAATTAAAACATGTTGTATTATTTGACTTGTTTGTAAAGTTGTTGTACGTGTCTCACGAATATTATTTATTATTACGGTGGAATTAGAATCAGGTCAGGCAGAAACTGAGAAAGCTCTCATCGTCCTCCTAGTCCTACTCTCGGGCCGTAGCAAATCCACGGTCAACACAGGTAAGAAATAAAATAAAAAACATCATGAAAATTTGCAGGCACGTGTTGGACAATTACGACATTCAAACCTGTAACATTGGAGTGCCGTAAATTGGTCTGGGTCACCTATTTACGGCAAATAAACAAATATAAAGACCGTAGAATAATTGTAAAATGAATAGACCTAGGCCTACACATCTTCTAAGTATAAATAATCAAAATACTAACACATCTTTCTTTAAACTAATTTGGGATGATAGGGTCTACTACGGCACACAAAAATAAATTATGCCGTGACAGACATGGTTTGCGTACGTCGGCTTTTAGTTTAACTTTTACCATGGGCGGCAAAAAATAGTGCCGGGCGCAGGCGCAACCCGGCGTGGCTACATCTTTAACAATGTGCCTGCAAAAATTTTTTTTAAAGCAAATGTGCCTGCGCACGCCGTGCGCATGTGGGCGGAAATATCGATGCCTGCTTAGAATAAGGCTATTTTTTATTTTCTGGAGCTGTCAAGCCAGTAAGAGTGTTATTGTCCCTTTAAGATTCATTTACATGACTAGGTAACTCAGCAACGTAAATAATGGCCTGTTTAGTTTAGTTTTTACTGTACATTAAGTAAGTATTTATCAGCAGAGTGCCGGTTCCTGCATGATTTATGCAGCCTTGAAAGTTCATTAAGATACTATATGGGGAGCAGTTATTTAAAAAATGCCAATCCTAAAATTAATCCACTGATAAAGTAGCCTATAAGGTTGTTCTAGAAACCACCATTTGCATGCAACACACCTCAACACAGGATGTTGTTCACAATGACAAAGCATATTATTACCAATCAGCCATTCCAGGCAAAAATTTTTTTTAAAGCAAATGTGCCTGCGCACACCTTGCGCGGAAATATCGATGCCTGCTTAGAATAAGGCTATTTTTTATTTTCTGGAGCTGTCAAGCCAGTAAGAGTGTTATTGTCCCTTTAAGATTCATTTACATCTCAACACAGGATGTTGTTCACAATGACAAAGCATATTATTATTATCAATCAGCCATTCCAGGCAAAAAAATTTTTTAAAGCAAATGTGCCTGCATACACCGTGCGCATGTGCGCGGAAATATCGATGCCTGCTTAGAATAAGGCTATTTTTTATTTTCTGGAGCTGTCAAGCCAGTAAGAGTGTTATTGTCCCTTTAAGATTCATTTACATGACTAGGTAATTCGGCAACGTAAATAATGGCCTGTTCAGTTTAGTTTTTACTGTACATTAAGTAAATATTTATCAGCAGAGTGTAGGTTCCTGCATGATTTATGCAGCCTTGAAAGTTCATTAAGATACTATATGGGGAGCAGTTATTTAAAAAATGACAATCCTAAAATTAATCCACTGATAAAGTAGCCTATAAGGTTGTTCTAGAAACCACCATTTGCATGCAACACACCTCAACACAGGATGTTGTTCACAATGACAAAGCATATTATTATTATCAATCAGCCATTCCAGGCTATTCTACATGGTTTTACTATTGTTGTCCCCCTCCATAGTTTCCAAGTAAAACAATAAACATATACAAATAAATCAATATTGTTACAAAACAATAATCCATTCTCAGTCTCGCACAAATGTGATGACAAAAAAAAATGAAGACAAAATCATTGTTTGTAGGACTGCTGGGACCAAATAAAAAGTGGGTCAGTTACCCCTGGACTGTCGTTCTATTGTCATTGCCCTCCACAAACAGACCATAAAAACAAACTAGAAAGGCCTTGATAAGGGTCATCTATTGTAAACGACCTATTTGAACTATTTCTATTTTTAAATTAAAATTTTCCCATATTTTGATAGGCCTACTCTACACACTACGACAATGTGAAGGTCTAGCTCAAATCAGCATGTATGTACGCTTATGACATGATTAAGAAAGATTGTGCGCGGTGACACGGCGGGTTCGGCTAAACGGCTACTTATGACGAATCATCAATTAATGTCCGGTATTCATTCAGTTATTTCAGTGCAACACAGACAAGCCTTCGTATACTCCATGCGTGGACCGTGGTTACATTAACCCGGTGGCTGTAATCAGCACTTAGCACTTAGTTCATGAATTTGTAAAGTAGCCTCACTTCACGTTCATGACCAAATTGTAATTAATAGTCTGTAATTTAAATCATACTCACAACACTGTCGACTAATTGCAACATTTTTGATTTCCAAAATCACAACTTGTGACAAACAAAATAACAATTTAGACGCGAGTTTTGGTAATGTTTATCTGGAGTGAAACGCGTGGTTTTATAACAAAACAAACGCCCTCTATCGGCTGAGAAGCTTCGCGATTAACCAGACGAAACAATAGTTTATTTCAGTTGAATTTGGATTGAGGAACATGTCAGGCTTATGTTGATTACCACGACCTGGGGTGGCAGGGGGCGCCCCCCCCCCCCCATTTTGGGCACCAAATGCTGGGAAAATTTGGGCACACAATTCTACTTTGTAAAAGTTGTATAAAAAAATATTGTGTTCTCGAAAGTGTCTAATTTAACAGCGAATTTATTATTATTATGTAACATACTAAGAACCTTACTACATTGTTTGGGCACCAATCACCACCGCCCCCCCCCCACCCAGTCAAAAATTTCACCGTACGCCTATGTTGATTACTCTTATAATATTATAGACTACTTTATTTTTTTAAAAAAAACTATAAAATGTTTACGTTTATTGCCCGGAGAGTGACGTTTTCGCTTACTCTTCTTACGAGTGTCAACCACGGCTTTTAATATTACGTCATGGCAATAAGTGGAGACCTAGGTTGTTCGTCCATTCCGAAAGACAATTCGCTGTTTCTTGCCAGACTCCCCTTCCTTCAATAACTACAAGGTGGCGGAACCACACCGAAAACAAAATCTAGTTTAGCCTATACAAGGACAAACAGTAGCCTACATACATAATCCCATACGACACATATTAAAGTGTAGGCCTATTCAACCATGGCCTGAAAAATCTCGAGGGTAGACCTAATTCTTCTTGGTCGATCCAAACCAAGATACGAGAATTGGACATTATAAATTAGAAAATCTAAGTGTGGAAAGCCTATATATATAGGCGTGCTGTCTCGATGGATGTGTGTGTGTTGGGGGGGGGGGGGTGCTGAATGGTTAGCACGTGTGCACTGTATCATAAGGAGTACACTCTAAATCCAGTGGACGCCAGACGCGTCCGAGCGCGTTAGATTGTAAACACACGAAGTTTTAATCTGCCCACATAATGTTTTTTATTTAACACAGCCATTAAAAAGGGAACAGAGAGCGACCTTTATATGATTTGGAATTATGACGCCGAGTGTTCATTGTGATTTAGTAAACACAGACTGTTCGATTGTGAACACATTTGGGTTTAAACATTAATAACAGAACACATGACGTCGTCTGAGATGTTTTTAAGAATGAACACCTTGCGTCATCCATTCACCGTCAAATTTTCTCTATGAACAAGCTATTCATAGAAAATTATTAAAACTGCCAACTTGCACTTAAAAGTACAAGTAGGCAGTTTTAATATTTGATTAAGAAACCAGATATAGTTTTATTTGTTTTGTAAATAAAGGATTATTTTTTTCTTTTTTTTTTTACAAAAGGCAGCCCAATGACGTTAATATACGTCCATTTGGGTAGCCTATCAACAGAATCTCCGTCGAAGCAATACCATTAAAACCTTTCGAATGAGAGTTGCGAACACGCTTTTAAAGGTCATGTTTGTGTGAACGTTGTATTTGTTTGCCCCAACGCCTGGCGTTAAGACAAACACCCACACCGTTCACACAAACATGCCCTTATGAGCATGCGTTAAGAGTCACGTGCACACTTTCAAAGACGACCTAGGACGCCATTGTACGTATTTTGATGTGAGACATTAAATCCAGCTCTGAATCACTAATCAGTGTACAATGATGAATTTCAGCATAGACACTTTGTTAACGGTAAGTTTTGCAATAGAAAATTTAATTTTATTTTCCTCCTTGAGTATTTTGATTTACTGTTAATCATTTCAACCGTTACCGCTCTCTTGGGCCTTGGCGTCTCAAAGAGTAAGACGTCTGTAACTGAAGGCAAATTTCTTTAGTTATGTATTTTATTGTTATGAATAGAGGAACGCGGACATTTTTAAGAGTGTTAGAACAGGTGGGTCTAATTTTAAAATATCCTTAAAGAAACGGGGAAGCTGACTGTAGACTATAACGTATAAGGACTAAGACTAGTAATTATTTCCCCTTATTTCATGTAGTGCGAGTTATAAATAGACAATTTTTCCCTTAATTTTTTTCTCCCCTCTTCCTGCATTTTTGGGTTGACTTTTTGGTCTAGAATTGGAGAAAAGGGATCAAATTTGCAATTTCATAGCAGTTTTGGGTAATACTGATGATATTACAGCGGAGGGATAGGGGGTGTAAAGTGTCTTTCTGCAGAGCAATCATTGTGTCGGAAGTGAGATTTTCACCCCTGTCAACTTCAAATCCGTGTAGCAAAAAATCTAAACGGTCAACCCCCTACAAAATTATGATGAGGAGATTGCCAAATGTTGTCCCCATTGTGCCTATAAAGATTGGAACCAACGGAATGTTGAGCAAAAAGCTACAGCCTGTGATGTTACAGTCATTTAACATTGAAGTCAAAGGGCAAATAATTGCTAGTCTGAGTCCATAAGGTTGGACACATAGTTATCTCCCTTCTAGTTATACGTCACGCGAGTTCTGTTTCGAACACCACGTGTTCAGAAGAAGAACACCTCGTGTTCAGAAGAAGAACACAAACTGTTTGTTGTTTCAGCTTTTTATTTTTACCCCCATTCCTCCCCTCAACAAACACACACACGCGTTATTTACAGTTATCAGTAATGAGTATTTAGTATTGATGCATTTGGTCATTTTTATAGCGGTAGGGGTCTACTATTACAGTATTAGGTCTAGCATGTTCCATCACCGCCCATGAAGAAGATTAACATCGAAGGATTTTATAAGGAGTAGATGAAAAAAAACAACACAATTTCCGAATACGGTGCACTTTAAGCTTCTGCTAAATAAAACTGGTAAAGTATTTCTGTACATCAGAGATACTATGCCTGCAGAAAATTTCGTTTACAGCTTTTAGTTCAATGTACTGATTCAATGAAACTTTTTTTTCATTTTTTAAAAAGTATTTACATTTAAATTTCGAATCACATTTTTCAGGTGTAAGGTGAATGACGGGCCTTTTTGTCATCAACTTTATTGAGATCGAAACTCAAAACGGTGCGATGAAAAAAGAATCCATTGTGCAAGTAATTGATGTAAGTTTAATTCTTGATGCACTGACAAAATTCATTTTCTGTACAATATTTTCAAATTACTGTTTGGCCAACAATCCGGAACGGATATTGTCATTGTGTTGCGGTACAAACGATGAAATGCAGGGCCTTGAGGGTCCAGGGAACTTCTGGCTTAGCCAGCATTAAAATACTCGGACAAAAGAAGGTAAAAGAAAAAAAAAATAGAACATTTAAAAAAAAGAAACCCATTTGTTTAAGAATGCTTAACCAAGAACTTAATAATAACAAATAAATTTATTATTTTTTTTGTATGCTGGGTGTCCACTGGCAGCGCGGATGGGGATCGTGATTAATGGCTCCCTTTGCACCCGTCCCCAACCCCTCCCCTCCCCTCCCCTCTAAATAGAAGTAGTATTGGAGCCACATTGATTTTCATCTAAGTTGCGTTTCATCAATAATTAGTCTGATCTAAACCACGCGAAAATCATTGTCGCAATGTACCTCATACAAAATATCACCAATGGCATGGCATTGCCAATGGCCAGTGTTCACTGTGTAGGACAACTACACAGAGCTGGGCACTCTACTGGTTTATGACATGTCGTTCTAACGTGCACAGCTTCATTTGGATATCGATGTTGCTGTTGCTCTGGGTGGATACCTGCCTTAACTATCAGCCACAATAAAATGTATTTTTGTTTTTTTTATTTAGACTTTCGTTTTTCCTAATTTCAGGAATATGACAGTTCAGAAATTGAGAGGTCACTCATAAGGGGGGACAGCTACATTTATAAGTACCAAGAACAGAAAATACCGTCCGTTGGATTTTTATTTAAAATCATGATAACATGTAAAATAAACTGTTTTGGGACTAAATAAAACCTTTAAATTCATATATATGTTTATTTTTCTCTTTTTGCCCAGAACATTTTGTAAGATATGGAAATCGACTAATTTTCTTTCGCTCATTGTGGCTTTATATATATACAGTTAATCCAGTACAATGAATCTGAACACTTAGTGTTAGCAAACAGCAAATGAACGCGTTCAAGTGTTCAAAATCTGTTTCATTTTTGCGTTCATTACGGAACGCGTCCAGTGTTCGGATCTGAACGCTTAGTATTATTTTGTTAAGAACATTGTGTTCTGTGCTGAACGGCAGACGTATACATCAGTTTGAATTTGAACGTTTAGTATTACTTTGTTAAGAACATTATGTGTTCTGTGCTGAATGCCAGACGTATAAATCTGAATACTCATCCTGTTGGACGCGTTCAAAATCTGTTTCATTTTAGCGTTCTGTAAAGGCGTCCGTAGGCGTCCGCGGGTTTAGAGTGTAGGGTCGCCTGTCCAACCTAGTGGGTTTTCTCCGGGTCCTTCGGTTTTCTGCCACTGCTAAAGAAAGACCTATTCGCGGAAGCGAATTACTGAAATAAAATTGATCCTTATGTTAGTCCCGAAATGACCTAGTTTGTGTCAAGTAGACGGTAAACCCCATTTCTCTCACTCTCTCACTCACGGTCTCGATGAATGTTAGAGAGGCAGAACCTCTGAAAATGCCCGAAAAACAATTCGGGTTACAGAATGGCGGTGCCGGTCGTTTGTCAGAGGCGAAGGAGCGGAGCTTACCGTGTAGGACATCCCCCACTCACCCACAAAGAGAATTAGGGAAATTTGACAGCTGCAAATGCGTTTTTCTGGCGCGAATCGTCAAAATGGGAACCCAGCATTAAGACGGTTGTATTAATATCTTCTAATTTAACCGAACCTGTGATGCATAATCAGCAAGCTCGTTTTGTTGGGTTTTTTTATTTTTTTATGTTTTTTTTAAACCCTGATTATCAAAATTACCGTTAATTAATGTGCTTATTAGGCAACTCGGATTATGAATCACCTGGCCGATTTTCTCTTAGGTATGACTGTTGTTGTAGCCGACAAGCAAGTTGATTGACTTCTTAATTAACAAGTAATAAACATGGGGACTGTTTCACGAAATTTTAACTAAGATAAAATCCAAATTTTAGTAATTTTATTGGATAATATAAGATTGTTTTAGTGCTTAGCCAATTAAAATTGAAGTATCCACTAAAATTTGGATTGTATCTTTAGTTAAGATTTCGAGAAAAAGGGCCCAGTTGTATAGTTTAGCCGACAAGCAAGTTGACATGACTTCTTAATTAACAAGTAATTTCCGCCTCGGCTGGGCCCCTCGACCAAAACACTATCCTGATCTTCACCAATACACCTCGGAAAGAGTGCTAATAACTACTACATAAACCCGTTGTAGTTTAGCCGAAAGTAGATTGACTTATGATACCATAGTGGCCCATTCATTGTTTTACCAATCGGCTAGATTAAACAGTCGATTAAGAACATTGCTTATCTGTTATGATATATTGTGTTCTGTGTATCTCCGTATTATAAGCGTGCGGGGTGGGGGGTGGATGGCCGAATGGTTAGCACGCGCGCGCTGTATCATACGGTCTGTCATTGAGTCAACTGGCGGGGTTTCGATTCCCCGGTTGTACGTGACAAGGCGTAGGGTCGCCTGTCCAACCTCGTGGGTTTTCTCCGGGTCCTCCGGTTTCCTCCCACTGCTAAAGACCCCTACGCGCAAGCGAATTATTAAAATAAAATTGAACCATGTGTTAGTCCCGAAATGACCTAGTTTGTGTCGAGTGGACGTTAAACCCCATTTCTCTCACTCTCTCGCTCACGGTCTCGATGAATGTGTATCTGTTATCACTCGTTACATCAGTCAGTTTATAGAGAGATGACTCGTGTTTTCCTTTGGCGTTCGTCACTTCCGATTCAGGAAACCTATATTACTCAGCATATCGTAGCAATGATCTCTGTCTTAAAATTATTTTTGGAATGTGTTTAACCAGCTCTATCACATATGTGATAATGACTGGCACCAATATTGTCCTTTAATACATGTTATATCTATAATATATGTATTCAAACGTTCTGTTATATAACCCGCATATGCATGTGCTTAAAATAATCTCTTAACTGACTTGCATATTTATTTTTTTCCTCTGTTGTAAATTATTGTGATGTGTTGTTTAATTTATTAGTTATATCTTTTGTATTATATTTTCTACGAAGGGCAGAATCCTAGAAAGGCTATTTTAGCCTAACCTTCATCCTTTCTTAAAGTAATGAAAAGGAAATGAAATGGGGTTTAACGTCCTACTGTTCTGCTCCTATGCTGGGCTAATGAAGACGGGCATACGCCATGCAATGTGCCATGAGGGAAATTTTGCCCGGGCAGCGGCACTATCGCCTACTCTTATATCGAATTCCAACTGCCAAGGGATCTTTTATGTGCATTCCAATGTATACACGGGAACTCGGTTTTTCATCTCATCCGAAGGACTAGACAGCTGTCCTTGTCAGGCCCTCCGTCCTGCATCACTGACAAGGGGGAACCACGCCCTTCTTAAAGCAGCTAAATCGCTAATATTTGGGACCTAGAAATTGACACAAACGGGTTTCAACGCATATATTAATCTAATATGAATGTATATAAAGTGATTTACATTCAATCCTCGTTCTTCCAGCCCCTTGTTACAAATGGCGCTGAAACGCATTATGGTACACGATTCGTGTACCAATGGTAAAATGTTTATTTTGTCTTAAATATTAGATATCAGAAGCCCATCTTTTCCCGTTAAGATCACAACACCAATGTTGATTAAATTGACAAATTATTCGTGTTTTCAATGTCGATGGAGTAAGATGATCTTGAGTTAGAGACTTAGCTACTTTAAATAAAGTCATTATTATTACACCTCACTGGTTTGAACGACTAAAATGAATAGTCGGGCCTTTTATGTTCCTTAAAGACTCAATACCACTCTTGTTGTAACTGAATAATATGTCCCAATCTTTATTCTGGTCAACAAATTGTACTATTTTACAATATTCCAATTAATTGATGATACAAATTTCATCTTAACACACCTAATTTAAAAAATTGGAAAAATTCAACTAAATGATTTGAAAAGCCTGACGTAAAGCTTTTCAAATGTGACTTGGATTTTAAAATATTTTTGAACCCTCTGGACAAGTAAATTTGGGTTTAATGGATAATTTACACAACAGGTATAGGACACTAACACATCTAGTACTTAGAATAAGGCTATTTTTTATTTTCAGGAGCCAGCAAGAGTGTTATTGTCCCTTTAAATGTGTTCTTTTACATGTGTAAAAATACAATAGATATGTGAGTAACTTCCTTGTTCAATAAGTATGCCAATAAGAAGACGGTGTGTGAAATTGTGTATATATGTATAACATCAACGATAAATATATGGTTGGTGTATGTGTTTGTGTGGGTGTGTGTGTGTGTGAGAGAGAGAGAGAGAGAGAGAGAGAGAGAGAGATGGGGTTTAACGTCCACTCGACACAACCAGGTCAATTTTATTTCAATAATTCGCTTGTGCGTAGGGGTCTTTAGCAGTGGAAGGAAACCGGAGGACCCGGAGAAAATCCACGGGGTTGGGCAGGCGACCCTACTCCTTGTCACGTACAACCGGCGAATCGAAACCACGTTAAAATAAAACCGGGTTTAACGTCCTGTGCCGCTGACAAAGGGGAAACCAAGCCGGAAAAAACCCGACGAACTTTCACGGCTAATACACCGGGATCGAACAAGGAACCTCTATTGTGGACCCCACTTATGTAAACCGCAATTACGATATCAGTACTAGCCAGTCTCTGTATTATGTTTAACGATAAGTGTCTATATTCAGGGATAGTGCTAAATGATAAGGCCAGCTCAATTTTTTGTCATGTCACGAGATGTAAACACAGCTAGCGCTAAACCTAACCCAGGACCTAGCCCCAATGCTTACCCTAACCCTAACCTATAATCTCGCCAACAATCACGTGCCCTAACCTTATTTACATCTCAACGACCTTGAAAAAATTGGGCCGACCTTAACAAATAGATTTAACCTTAATTTATGTCCTATTAAATAAAACTTGTTTACGAGTTTGAAACCAATATTTGACCGGGACCATAATAATGCTGCAGAAACTTGTTTAAATAAAATCTAGGGCATTGTCACTGATTCCAGGATGTTATGACACCAATGAAAGATCGTTTTTTCACAGTTTTCTGGTTAACTATCAGAACTAGAAAAGATCACATTGCCATCTTCCGGGTGAGCCAATAAAATGTGTTAATTACGCCTTTTGTTGCTATGGTTATTGCTTAAAACCTGTCACCAAAGGTGTCATATAAATATAACTAAATTGTATACTTAGTTGAGCTGGTGTCTCAATGTGGTGCAGACATAATTTACATTCTTAAAGGAATTTTATATTTCAAGATGGGCGACTTCAAGCTGTTTTTATTTCTTGTAATTAGTGGTATGTATAACTTTTTATTTGGAATAAGAAATCTGGGATGGACTGGGGACGGGGGTCCTAGCGCCTATAGGCCCATGAGGGGCCCCAACTTGCCAGATTTTGTTACGAAAAAATAAACTGTAAATGGTGCTTTCAGGAGTATATCCAGGGGCGTAAATGTGGGGTGGGGTTGTAGGGGTCAAAATAAGTGCAAGCTACGGTAGCTGATTTAGGACACGTAAAAAAAAAAAAAAAAAATCAGGCGCTCGAGATACTAAGTCGAGCGCTGGATATAATTAAGTCGAGCGCTGGAGATAGTAAGTCGAGCGCTGGAGATAGTAAGTCGAGCGCTGGAGATAATACAATCGAACACGTCTCAACCGATGTTTTAAGCTGCACAATTTTGTGCATACTTGTAGAATAAAGATATGCATTTGTTCGTTTTAACAGACCATCCTTATCACCACCACTAAATATTCACCATTATTATCTACCTCTTCCAAGTGGGGAGTACATCGCAAGTTATTATACG